CAGCAGTTGAATGCAAAGCAGCAGCAGCGCAGGGTGGTGAGTGGCAGCAGCAGCCACCACGTGTGGGCTTTCCCCCTGCATCTGGCTGGCTGGCAGAAATTCCAGTTAATAGAAATGTTGGTTACTAAAATGCTGGTTAACACAGGTTTTACTGTATTCTGTTTATTCTCTGTGCAATTGTTCTATAATGAGTTACACTGAAGATGAGAAAAGGTCAAAGCTGATCAAAGCCAACCCCTCCCCTGCACCTAACACTCCTAAAACAAACAAGGGAAGCAGGGTCCTAAATCAGAAAGATCAAAGGTCCTTCTAAGCTTAGTAGCCCTCTGGGCTAGTATAGTTAAGGCACATCAGTTTTCATGACTAACAGCACATAAGGGAGCGATATGGCCACTCATATCCAGCTGCCTTTTTGATTCCTCGTTTGTAGGTCAGTCAAGGGGCAGAGGGGTGGGGTGGCCTTCTGGTATGAATCTGGAACAGGGTGCATATTTGCACCTCTGGAATGGTAGCAAGATGCCTTAACCAGCCTGTCTGTGCCCCAGGATCATGATGAGATATGCACAATAGATGCCTCTTTCCAAAATCAAATGTTGCATCTTGCTCTTCTCTCAAATGCCATGACAATTGTCAATGAGCCATATGAAGGTAGACTTGGAATGAGTCTGTCAGGGATGAGTTAAGTCAATCTTGCCATGAAACAGGCAGATTGACTAGATGACTCATGGGATCAGCCCCCACAAACAGTTGAGATGCTTGAATTGGTTATATTGCCAATGTAGACTTCAGGTACCTAGATATTAGGACAAGGGGCAAAGGAATGTGAATACAGTCCTGTCCTTTAAAATTCTTCCTTTTTTGATGTAAAAGGTGCCTTTTTTCAGGAATTTCCTGTCCTGTGGAATTCACCGTCTGGTAATTAATAAAAAGGGTTTTTTTAAAAGGCTATGACCAATTGTTTCTCATGATTTACATGGCTAAAAAGTAACTTGTTTGCAAAGTAACCTGATTACATGCATGAAATAGATTCCTCTGATAGTGTTTCAATCATGGCAGTAATTTCCTCTTCTGCAGTTAGCATTTTGACTGCAAAACAATCCAAGGTGCCTGCTGCATATCTGAGTGCACTCTTTATGTAGCATACAGTGCTTGAAATGTTACTGGCTATAGATAGAGGTGCAACCCCTGTGCTGTGTATTGCCCTGGTGCATATGTGACTTCAGTTCTGTACTATGAAGGGAAGACATCTGCCCATGTGATCTGCATATCGGAGAGTGTCTGTAATCTATACTGCAAGGTCACATTACAAATACTGGGAGCAACCTAGATTATCCTAGTGGTTTAAATCATGGCTTTAAATATAGTGTTTTTTACATTAGCTCACTACAAACCTAACTTGTGGGGGATTATCACAGGATATTTTCACTGAATTGTCTCAAATACAATTTTCAGGCCTCCTGGGTGATGTTGCTTCTTCTCTGCTGTGAAATTATCCAGAATAATTGTGAAGGATGAAATGCTCATTCAAGTTGAAGTGAAACCTGTTTGCTTTGATATTGAACTTTCTTTTCGAAGTTGGGTGACCATGCACAAGGTAACTGTTTAATTGCAGCTCTAAACTGACTGCATTTTGTGCAGAGCTTCAGTGCTCTTACAATAGCCTGGTTGCAAAAGCAGGTGAAACTTACTTTGTTTTATGCAACAGGCAAAGTGCCCACCTTCCTGGTCAGAGAGCAGTTCTTTTTTTGAGTGATCTGGTCACACAGCATGAAGTTCATTCCTGCAGCGTAGAGAAAACCAGAACCACTGCCCTCCGGTCCTTTAGAAACGATTAAGCACATTTGAAGCCTGGTTTGGTCCTGACTGTGCTGCACAACCATTAGTGTCAGGCATCAGGACTGTGCTGTAAGCCGGTCTCTCGGAGAAAGAGTTGTTACAGTGCAGCAAGGACTTGGAAGCTAAATTTAGCCCTGTGAAATCAGCAGTAAAGACACATGCCCCTCTCCAAACAGGAATGATTCAATTTGACCAAATAGAAAATTGTTCCCTTATTAAGTTAATTGTATCTCCCAATAAAAAAGCTTCAAGCTGAACCTGGCCCTAAAGCAGCTTTTCAGAGCCAGGAAGCTGTGAGCCGGCTGCCAGATGCCTTCTAAAGCTAAGGCTCCTAACGGTTCTTTTTCTTTTCCACTAACAGCCAGCAAAAGAGCCATCCTTCTAGAAACATACTAACAAGGAGGTGCCTGCAGTCTCCTTTCTCCCAAAGCACAGGGCTCTTGCCTTGTTTTAGCCAGCTCTGGAAAAGAGCCCTAATCACAGCTCTGTTCCAAGCAGTTTTGTAATGGCTTTTGGCCTCATCTGCATGTGTCTTGAAAGTTTGCTATTGACTAAGAGCTTCAGTGTGGGGTTCATCTTGGACCCTGTCAAAAGGGAAAGAAAAAGGGTCTCTGACTGTGTCTTCACAAAAGCAGATCCCTTTTTGTGTGCAGAGCTGCTGCAGTAAGATCAGGGTACTTGTGCTGTGCATATCTGTCTCTGTTTCTCAATGAGCCCTTGCCTGTTTGTCACACAGGGTGTGATTACACTGCACAGCATTAGCTCAGGTACTAAGATCAGCTTGGTTGGCTCCACACAGAGATCCATATGAGCAGATTTGCCATATGGGCGAATTCACCCTGATAAGAGAATTCTGAGTGAGGCTAGGCTGCTTCCAGTAACGGAGGAAGCTTAGAAGTGAAGTGTACTGTAGACATATCCAGACTTGTGAGCAGTGGTGGCCTTAGGGGCGTTGGGGCCCTGGGCAAGTGAGTGATTTGGGGCCCTAGGCAAGAGAGTCATTTGGGGCCCCCTACAGGCTTAATTTTGATGACCTATAAGCAAGTCGGACATTTGTTGTAAAAATTTGTGGGGCCCTGGGCAGTCACCCAGTTTGCCATCCCCTAAGGCCACCCCTGATATAAGGTACCTGCAGCCAGGCAAAAGCTTCAGTGACTGATTCTAAAGAGCATGTCATATTCTCTCTTTGTGTCTCCACCTAACTGAGCTGGTGTTTGGAGAATTGGGGCATTTTATCCAAAATCTGATTGGGGTTTTAACCCTGCATGTAGGGATGGAGTGCCGCATGCTGCTTATCCAGACATCAAGCATCCTGGCCAGTTAAAAAAAAAAAAAAAAAAGGATATTGCAAGTCTGTTGCCAATTTGGATCCTTTGGTCAGCTTCAGAAACAACTTGATAAGAAAGCTATGCTGTAAAATGGAGAAACCCAAACACATGCTTATTACCAGAGCTTTCCATACTGTAGACCTCCAGGGACTCCAAACCCACCCGCCATTTGCTACACAAGCTTCTGTAACAGGGCATTGTGGAGCAAAAAAAAAATAGCTACACCCAAAGAAAGGGCTACTTCTGCAAAGCTAATGCCCTTTGAGGAGCAGTTAGGTTATCCTTTCTGTGAAAAGCTAACACACCTGCAAACTATGCAATTCAGAGGAGAGGGACGGAGTCACAGTGGAAGGAGACCTGTTAGATCAGTGGTTCTCAACTTTTTGTAGGCTCCAGGTATCCCTGGGGAAAATGCCAACTCTTAGTTTTCATTCTTTTTTTTTTTGCCAGAGAAATGTAACAGAGCAGTTTTTCTGTTGCAAGGATCTCTGAAAGGCCACAACTGTGGATTCCTGTTTGAAATCTCCAGGTTTATCTTGTGATTCCTATTCCCACACCTAAAAGTGCCAGCATGGCGTGGCGCTCCACAGCACCCTTGAAAGGACCTCGAGGCACCCCAGGGTGCCATAACACCCTGGTTAAGAATGGCTGCATTAGCCGTTAGCTCCTCTCCTGCCCAGTGCATATGCCCTGTATTGCCTGGCACCCAGAGGAAGAAAGACCTTGGATGCCCAGAATAGCACAGCTGCCAATGCAGCCCTCTGAGCTACCAGGACAGGAATCCTATGTGAATCCCCTTCTCTAATGTGAGACCTCCTCCGGATGTGGGGATTAGCGCCAGCCCTGCTTGTCCTGAGGCAGGCAAACGCCACATGGCAGGGCAGATGCGAGGCTGCTTTACCACGTGGGGAAGGAGCTTCTTCTTTCATATAGTTTAATTCCAAATTCCCCAACCAGCCCAACACCCTGTTAGAAAGTGAGTGCAACTCCAGGATGTTGCCCTCAAGCTTAGGGGCAGGATGTTATGATGTGCTCCATGGTTTGGTCAGGGTTTCCAGTCACAGCCAGGTGCCTCTTGTACATCAGGTGGCCACAACAGCCATGTCCATTATGGCAGCAGTTCCCAATCTGTGGTACGCGTACCACCAGTGGTACACAGACAACCTGCCAGCAGTACATGTTACTTTATAGGACAAAAATTTGCTGGTGGTACTTAAGATCGCATGGTTTGAAATTGGTGGTGCCTCCCGAGTCTGGGGGAGCACCTACAGAGGTCGGTGTCGGCAGTAGGGACGGAGCTGGCGGGCACCTGCAGAAGCCCTTGGCAGTGGGGACAGCCCTGTCAGAGGGGCACATTCCCCCCCAACTAGGAGCCTCTGGCGGTGCGTGGCGTGTCAGAGTTTGGGAACTGCTGTATTAAGGGTTATCCACATGCTCGGTGGAAGGCTGAAGCCGGGTTGTTGCATGGTTGGGTCGGAGAGGCGTTTATTTGGGAAACTGCTTTCTATCAAAGGTTTGGGGAAGGAGCAGAGGGGCACCCATGGCTCTACCTGTCTGCTGCTCCCAGGAGGAGCAAGGAAAGGGATTTCTTGGCTGGGTGCCGGTCATATAGTGAACAGCAAGCGAGCCAGAGGAGCTCCCCAGGGCTGGGTCCTGCGGGCGGGGCGGGCGGCGCGAACATTGTGATTGGCCACAGGCGGCTCTGCGACGTCAGCCGGGCAGCTATACGCGACATGTGCTGCGCATGCTCCGCCCCGGCAGGCGACGGCTATATAAAGCTGCGGCCGCAGCGGAGCGGGTAGAAGCAGCCGCCGAGCAGCGGGTTTGCCGTTGGTGCTGCGCGGAGCGGGCCGGGCCGGGTGAGGCGAGGCGAGCATGATGGCAGCGGCGAAGCCCGCCGAGCTCCTGGGCATCTGCTCTAGCTACCAGGCGGTGATGCCGCACTTGGTGTGCCTGGCCGAGGCGTTTCCGCCGCCCGTGCGCCCCGCCAAGCCGCCGGCCGCCAAGGGCAAGCAGCGGCGGCCCCGGCAGTCCCGCTTCAAGACGCAGCCGGTGACTTTCGACGAGATCCAGGAGGTGGAGGAGGAAGGCGTGTCGCCTGTGGAGGAGGAGCGGGCCAAGAAGTCCTTCCTGCAGTCGCTGGAGTGCCTGCGGCGGAGCACCCAGAACCTCAGCCTGGTGCAGCGCGACAAGCTGGGCAGCTGCTGCAAGCTGCGGAGCAGCCTGGACTCCAGCGACTCGGACTCGGCGCTGTGACGGGCCCCGCTCGTCCGCCGCGAGACGGTGGGAGCCCGCGCTCCGGACACTGCCGGCCTCGCACGTGGCCCTTGCGAGCAGGGCGCGGGCGGCGCGGCCTCCCGGCGTCCCTCCCAGCCCTGCCCTCCTCGGAAGCTGCTCCTGGCAAAGACTAGCCCCGCTCGGCCGGGCTGGCAGGGGGGAGATGGAGACATTGTGAAGGCTTTTCTATGCCAAGCAAGGCAGGGAGAGAAGCCCCTCTCTTGCCCGCCCCCCATCCTTCACTCCCAGCCCCCCCAGTGGGAGTGGGCTGGATTGCAGAGCACCTTGCAAGTGAGCTCAGGCTGTTTTCTAAGAAAGCGCTTTGTACAGTTGTGTTTCTCTTCCATGGTATGAAACCGCTCTCTTGATTTCAACCACTCTTATTTTCTAAATGTTTAGAAGAAACACGAGCTATTTGTTTTGTTTGGGGGGAGGGGGGTTGTTTTTGTTTGTTTCTTCCTTTTTGGGGTGGGGATGATGCCTTGAACTGCTAGACAGCCTATTTATTTTTGCATTTCAACCGTGTTAATTTAATACGTTTCTACCTGAATGTCTGTTATTTCCATACAAGAGAAATAAATAAATAAAAAGCTGATATATTTGCACAGTGCGTTGTCAGCCGTCTTTATTGTGCAGGGATCTTGTTGATTCCTGCTTCTCATCCCTCTTTTAGGTTGGGATTGCTTGGGCTTAACAACACTAGAATACCAGTGATATCTGGGGCTGAGCGGGGAATGCTGTTTCAAAGGGCAGAAATGTGTGGGGGGGTTTTGTGTGGTGTTTTTTTTTTTTTTTCTCTTTAAACAAAATGGACATTTAGCAAAATTCTTAACTTGGAGCTTAATAAATTTGGCAAGATGGATGTTTCCTCTCCTTCAACCCACTTCTGCACCCTGAGAAAACTGGGGGTCAGGGGGAATAAATATCCTTACCATGATGTACAGAATTATTGAATAAGGGTCCTGTGTTCAATATAGACTTTTTCCTCCCTCCCTTCCCCACTGTAAATTTAGTTTTGTGTAGTTTTTATTATGGTTGCTGTAGGCAACGCAGTTTAATTTACCACCCTGCAGCATGTTTGGTATGGAAGCATTTTTCTCCGAGGATGAAAGTAAAAAAGGCTTTCTGATCTTGGGGCTGGCTGGGTATGAAGATTAGTTTCTCTGTATGTGTGGCTTGCACAAAAAAAAAAGTGTGCCACATTTTTCTTGACTTGCTACTTAATTGTATACCGCATGAAATGTAATACCCAGAAGCATATGTACATCTACAAAGGGGTGGGGGTGAGGGGAGCAAACCCACTAGTTGAGAATTACTTCCTTTTTTCCCCATTCATAAGTGTGTTTGGGGTTTGTTTGTGTTTTTTTTTTTTAATGGTAATAACCCACTCCCATGTGGGTATCTCCTCCTGCCTGCTAGGCAAGCCTCAGGCTGTTTTAAACTTCCCAATTACTAGGTTTTATCAGATGACAGTTTCTACTGCTAGAAGTCAGAGCCTATTGGTATAGTTTATTCACAGAGGTTTGATTTGTTGTAAGGTGGGCTAGAAAAGCACCCCCCCACCACCACCACCACCTTTTTCAAATGTTGACACCTGGGTTCATGTATTGGGTAGATCCTAAGGGAAATCCTACTGGGCTCTGCTTGTGAAGAGCTGAGGAGGGAACAAGTGGCATTTCACTGAACTGCTTGTGGGGTTGAGGTCTGGTTCAGTGGGAAGGAAGAAACATGGACAGGATGAAGTTGGGAGTGAAGAACACAGCAGTAGATGATGGGAGTGAAATAATAAGGGATGCTGGAGGCAAATGTTAAAGTACATCCCCAAGCCTTATGGGAGGTCAGCATTGAAATAATAGTGCTGTAAGTCTGGATTGGGGTGGGGGTTATCGGCAGTGGAGGGGGTGCTCCAGGACTGGCAGAGGAGGGGGTGCTATTGCTCAAAACTGAGCATTAACAAAGACATGTAGGAAAGCCTGCACTTGAAGTGTTCCTTTTCCTACTTCCCTAAAGACCAAAATAGATACTAGAAATCATTCAAAATGTGGGGGACAGTGAACTACATAAAATCATGCACTCTGTCTGATAAATAAGCAAATGGCTCTGGGGCAGAGTCTCGTGCTTCCCTATCATTAAAGAATTTGAAACCACGACTGCATCCAGTGAGGTACATTACATGATAGCTGATCTCACTGTGGCAATAAACCCCCAGTGGCTGCTTCCTGTGCAGCTAGTACGCACAATATCCACGCACAAGGCAAAGCAGTGCTTCTACCCCCAGTGCTACTCACCGGAGTCTAATTAAAGGAAATAACCAATTACCAAAAGCTTGGGTAATTTTCCTTGACAAATACCCACTGCTCTTCCAGGCTTAGTGAAACTTTGGTATAGCCCTTTCATTATATCTCTAAATATAGCATTGTCAATACATAATGTGCTAACAAATTCCACAGCGTTTTGAGGGCATATAGTTCAGTTGCAGCATCCTTCCCCCATTTTTCAGACAGTGGCTCTTCAGGTTGCGTCTCTTCTAAGTCTAGGTACAAACTCCACTGTCACAATCTCTCTGAGTGACGTGTTAGCTGAGTGAAACTATTGCATCCTTCCCCCTGCTCCTTTTTTCCATTTAGCGGTTGGGATTGGAAGAACTGGCATTTCTGCATTTGTGTGTAGCCAGGCTGCCATCACACACACACTAGTTGCAGAAGGCTGCACTGATTCAGCCTGCTGACAGGAGCAGAGTATCAGGCACTGACTTTCCTGCACGGGGAAAAAAAAAATCCAAGCTTCTTGTTCAGTTTCAAGGCGAAAACCCAGGACATGGTGCGGTGCTGCTCTCAATAAAATGGACATGAGAATCTGCTATAAAATAAGTTAAGAAAAGCACCTATCCCCATTGACAATTCAGTATCTCTTCAACTGATACTCATTCTGGGTGCGAGGGGTGTTATGCTGACAAAAGGGCCCAGGGTGACAGACCTAGTGACTGGGACTATTTGCTTATCCTCAGAACAGGAACAGCCTAGGCAATAACAATGTAATATTTCCTATAGGCAGTGTGTCCTACAGAAGCCCAGCTGTGAGCGAGATGGGCATGTTGCCAACATTGCCCAAGCAGTCCTTGCTCTCTAATCAGAAGATTTCTATTGTGATGATGTTTCTGGTGGGATGGACACCTGTCCCCCAAGGAACTGGACTGAGATACCAAACTCCTTTCACCCAGGGTCACCTGATGGTCATCACATGGTAACAACCCTCAGTGAATAAGCCCTTTCCCCAGCGCTTATGATCTGGCTTGTGCAGTAATTGAAAGTGCTCAGCAAATGCTACTGCTTCCTTTGGTGGCAAGCAAGGAGGTACAATCATCCCCATTTTACAAAACCCCACTGAGCTCACTGGGAGCAGGATGGGTCTCCCAGAGGAAAATGGATACTTAACATGATCTGACCTACATTTTGTCCCTCATGCTTCCATTATATGTAAATTTATTCTATCCGTTGTGGCAGGAGAAGCAGAGATCTCTTGATGCCCAATGCTTGGTAGGTAATAAGCCTTTCACCATTATCTGTTATTCTGAAGGCAATCCATTCTTGTTCTGTTTTCTGATTGGGGTTTGATCTACTCCAGGCAGGTCTGTGTTGGTGCCATGCAGCTGCAGCACCATGAGCCTCTAGTGTTGAGGTGCTTCACTGCTGTAAAGTGACTAGCATCAATATGGTTTACTCCAGGCGTAAAAGCTTCTTATGTTGATGCAATGTATCTACACAGAAGTTTTGATCAATGCAACACCATCAGTGTGGCTCCATTGGTACAAAAATCCCCTGTATGAATGAGCCCTTTCTGAATTTTTCCAGAGTATTTCTGTCTGAATTTGAATTGGTAAATTCACTGAGGTTTTCTAATTGTAATTTAATTTTGAACTCAAAACCAACAAAACATTTCCCCGTTTCCCCCCCTCCCCCTTTCCATCTTCTCGGTTTCACTCAGTTCTTTCTATTTGACTCCATCTCTTATTTCTAAGTTTATAATAACCCTGTATGGACTGTTTAGTATAGTTCTGCTCTTGGTACAAACAGAAGAGGTTCAGAGGACTGAAAACCTCCTGCTGGCTTTAGTGAAGGATTAGAGGAGGTGAGTTCATCTCAGGATTTGGGCTGTGACAAGAAGTTTCTTGACCTTCATTCTTTTCCACTACATGTTAATAAACAGAAGTAGTTACTGCCTATCCGGCTGCTTTTAATTTGATTCTGAAAAACCACTGCAATCTGTGGCAGAACTACAAGAAATGGTCCCTGTAAATAAGAAATGATTAAATACATAGTTATTTGACCTCCACCATAGCTTAAGAGCTGCAGTACCAAACATAAACAGGATGTTTATTTTTAAGGTAGCAGAAAACAGGTTGTGATGTTTATAATAAACCTGGACTACACTAACGAATATCGCAGAATGATATACTTCATACACAGGTACATACACATCCTTTCATGTGCAGAGGTCCCCAGTAGGGCTGTGCAAAGTTTCGGTAGCTGATTTGATTTGGAGGAGATTTGGCCTGATTCGGGAACCGAATCTGAATCAAATCGGGAGACCATAAAAGCTCCAAATTGATTCAAAGCATCCGAATCAATTTGGAAAAGATTCAGTGATTCGACCATAGACTAAACAGGTGGCTGACACAGCTCCCTCCAGCTGGTAAGTCTGTTGGGGCTGGGGGAGGGAAGGGGCATGGGGGAGAGAGGGATTGGGGCTGGGACAAGCTGCCC